TGGTGTTTTTTTTTTTTTTATTAGGAGGCATGAAAATAAATTTTTACTAAAAGGCACGAAAATAAGTAACTTCTACTTCATGTTTATTCTTTCTGATTAAAAATTAAAACATTTTAATGCCTAATGTTGTGCCTCATGGATAAGTTGGTCCTTCATGCAGCCATTCTCTTTTGAACAGTGGCCTCCATAACAATGGTTTCCACGTGGAATGATCTCCTGGGTAGATCCCCCTCAATCCTTCTAAATAGAAATATCAGGGATGGAAGCTGGAAGATTTGCTTGAGTTAGACTCCTGGGAATCCATTTCTATCTGGCCCAAAACATGGCACTTAATCAGGGCATGCAGACCAGCTCCAAGCTGATTCAAATTGCCAGACTGATTTGAATTGTTGATCAGACTGACAATGTTGATCCAGTTTGAATGGATGTATCAGTCCAGTTCAACCCCTTGAGCTAAATCATCTGATTTGATGATATGATTTGATCCCAATCATTCATCTGAATCAGAAAGTCCACTGAATTCCACATTTTGTTCGAAACTACAGGGAGTCCCCAGTTTAAGAACGAGTTCTGTTCCCACGGTCTGTCCTTAAGTCGAATTTGTACGTAAGCTGGAACAGTATTATTATATAATACTGTATAAGTAGTATTGTGCAATGAACTCAAACCATTGTGTATTTAACTCAAATCGTTGTGTATTTAACTCGAATGTTGCTGCAATAGGCTCCGTTCTTAACTAGGAGTCATCCGTCAACTGGGCATTCTTAGCCCAGGACTACCTGTATCCAATTTGATACCATGTCAATATGATTTGAAGGCTTCATTTGAGCAGGGGTTTCATAAAGCCCTAGAGTTTTTAGATGCAAGACATACATAATTTATGTCTAGAAATTCTAGAGCTGTGTGGTTCATATATGAAACTGTAGAAGGATTAGCCATTTCTCTCCTTCAGATGATGGATAAGACAACATTTTTCCACCAAGCTTTCTATGGTTAACGTCATTCTTTGCTTTTAGAGTTGTCCTCTGCTCTTTGTTACTATCTGGTATATGTACAATTGCCGTCTTCACTTTTTATTAATTTTGGCATGCCTGTGCATCCCTCCGAGCACTCTTCCAGGGGATAATACTCAAATGCCTCCATGCCACTCACTTTTCAGATTGTGAAGATGTCATGGCACCTTCTTCAGATGAGATTATAAAATTATCAGAAGCAAACAGGTTTTGGTCCGTCCAGGAACTGAGCTGCATGGAAAGGAAAACTTTTGCCAAAACTGTGGAAATCCTTGGCTCAGTGCGTAATTTTAGCCCCCTCCAGCTCGTTGCCTTGAAAGAAAAGGCTAAACAGGTAATTATGACAGGGGATCAGAATGGGAACTCTTCCACTATGGATTCCAGGGAGCTTTTTTAAATATAGATCTTTTTAGATATGCTACTAAAGTCTTTCCATTGCTCAAATGGGGTGACACCTTGCTTTCTTTCATAAGAAAGAGCTTGACCAAAAAAAGCCTTATACGTTGCACTAAACCAGCTTAACATGTTCTCTGAGTCCTGCCACTGGGGATTACAAACCAACATTTATGGATTAGCATGTTGTACAAATTCAACTGTTGGTTTTTAGCTCAATAAACCACAGTTAAGCAAGTAGTAGTCATTGAGATGCGGGAACCAAAACTCGGGCCAGAGAATACATTTTTAAAACTTTCCATCTTAACAACATGGCAGCTTATTTGTTGGCATGTCTCAGAAAGCTGCAATTTAAAAATATACCTTAGAGCAGTGTTTCTCAGCCTCAGTAAGTTTAAGATACATGGACTTCAGCTCCCAGAATGGCTGGCTGGGGAATTCTGGGAGTTGAAGTCCCCACATCTTAAAGTTGCCGAGGTGGGGAAACATTGTCTGTTTAATTTCTAGTGGAACTAGTGAAGTAGAACACAGAGCCCCTGGTGTGGAGGAATACTTTGACTTCTTCTGTCACATTAAACTATGGTTTGTTTAGCCATTGTCAAAACACTAAATCATCGTTCAGTGGCTACATTCATTCATCACCCTAAGCCAATGTTTCTCAACCTCAGCAACTTTAAGTTGTGTGGACTCCAACTCCCAGAATTCCCCAGCCAGCCATGCTGGGGTTAGGGTGGGGAATTCTGGGAGTTGAAATCCCCACATCTTAAAGTTGCTGAGGCTGAGAAACGCTGCCTTAGAAGATGATTTCAGACCCCAAGAAATTACAGTGAAGATTAGCATGCAGCAGGAGACTCAGTTCTGTGATGGGCTAAGCCAGTGTTGTCCAAACCTGGCCACTTTAAGATGAGTGGACTTCAACTCCCAGAATTCCCCACCCTAACCCACCCTCGCTCTCCTGGGGACTTCTGGGGGGGGTGGGCCCCCCCCCCTTAAAGAGTGGGGCG